CTCAATTTTTTCCAAGATGAGAGGAATTAGCTGTACATTTGAAGACTTACACAGAAAACTTGAAGTGAAAAATATTTAAAACAACTTAGCAAATTGGGAAAAAGTGCTACAGAACATTCTGTGGGGTTCAATAAGCATAAGACAGTAGCTAATAGACAAAACAAAGAAAAAATTAAGTATGGAAAAACAAGTACAATTGCATGAGAGACCTCAATACCCCAGTGTCACTTGTAGACCAACGGCACATGCGCAGACACACACACACACACAAATATTGGAACTGAACCAAATTTTTGAAGAAATAGTTAGCAGATGTCTATAGAATGTCTCATTCCACATCAGAATACACATTTTTCTCAGCTGTACATGGGACCTTCTCTAAAATCGACCACATACAGAAACTAATAAAGTATTCTCTAAATAATGAAAAATAAATAAATAAATAAATAAAATCGACCACAGACTAGGTCATAGAACATGCTTAAGTAAAGGAAAGGAACTGAAATGATTCCATGCATATTATCTAACCATAGTGCAATGAAATTGTAAATCAATGGCCAAAGAAACCGCAAGTACTTAATAAGCACATGGAAATTGAATTATAGCTTCTTGAATAACCAATGGGTCACAGATGAAATTAAAGAGCAAATTAGACAGCTTCTACAATTAAACAATGCTGATACAGCAAACATACTAGAACTTATGGTACACAAAGAAAGTAATCCTAAGGGGGAAATCTATAGCAGTAAATGCCCATATCAGGAAAACAGAACTAGCTCAAATGCACAGCCTATTGTTGAATCTCAAGCTTCTAGAAAAAAAAGAGCTAATGAAGCCCAAAGTTCATACAAGGGAGGACATGATAAAGATCAGACCCGAAACAAATGCAATGAAAGCTAAGAAAACAACAAAGAATGAACGAACCAGACTTTGTCTTTGAAAGATTAAATAAAACTGACAGTCAAGCTTATCAAAAAAATGAAAGAAAAGATTCAAATCCATGCAATTAAAAATGAAAAGGGGGAGACTAGCTCTTCACTGTAAGGCATGCCTCGGTATCTATAGTACACCCTCTTTCTCCTTCCTGGGCAACAAGATCTGGTAGCCAGAAATCCAACACATCTATTCTCAAGATGCACACCTGAGAGATGTTTGACTCTTGTGGGAACCCCACTGTGGAGACTGACCTCTACACCTCCAAAGGTCACTTCCAAGCTGTTGTGCCCAGTGGGGCCTCCACTGGCATCTACAAGGCGTGAAAATGACAAGACTCGCTACCTGGGCAAGGGTGTGTCAAAGGCTGTTGAGCACATCAATAAAACTACTGCATCTGCCCTGGTTAGCAAGAAACTGAATGTCATGGAGCAGAAGATTGACAAGCTGATGATCGAGATGGACGGGACTGAGTAAATCCAAGTTTGGGGTGAATGCCATCCTGGGAGTGTCTCTTGTGGTGTGTGTGGCCAGCACTGTGGAGAAGGGGGTGCCCCTGTACCACCACATTGCCGACCTGGTGGGCAATGTCAAGGTCATCTTGCTGGTCTCTGCCTTTAACATGATCAATGGTGGCTCAAACCCCAGCAACAAACTGTCCATGCAGGAGTTCATGATCTTGCCTGTGGGCGCAGCCAGCTTTAGGAAGGCCATACACATTGGGGCCAAGATCTACCATAACCTGAAGAATGTCATTAAGGAGTATGGCAAGGATACCACCAATGTGGGTGACGACGGTGGCTTCACACCCAACATCCTGGAGAATAAGGAAGCCCTAGAGTTGCTGAAGACTGCCATTGGGAAGGCTGACTACTCGGAAAAGGTGGTCATCATAGGTGTGGCCTCATCCGAGTTCTTCAGGTCTGGGAAGTACAACCTGGACTTCAATCTTCTGATGACCTCAGTAGGTATATCTCACCCAATCAGCTGGGTGACCTCTACAAGTCCATCAAGGACCTCTTTGACCAAGAGGACTGGGGTGCCTGGTGGAAGTTCATGGCATCCAGGTGGTGGGTGATGACCTCACTTTGACCAACCTCAAGTGCATTGCCAAAGCCATGAATGAGAAGGCCTGCAGCTCAGTCAACCAGATTGGCTCAGTGACTGAGTCCCTGCAAGTGTGCAAACTGCCACAGTCCAATGACTGGGGCGTCATGGTGTCCCACCAGTCCGGGAAGGCAGAAGACACCTTCATCACTGACCTGGTGGTGGGACTCAGCACTGGGCAGATCAAGACTGGTGTGGATCCGAGCATCTGGCCAAGTACAGCCAGATGCTCAGAATCGAGGAGGAGCTCGGCAGCAAGGCCAAGTTCACCGGCAGGAACTTCAGAAACTCCCTGAATAAATAGGACATGGCAGGCCAGAGCCCAGACTCAGGCACAGGTGGTACCCTCCTGCCACTGCTTCTGGAGATGCCATCAGGGCCACCTGGAGCAGTGACCCCAGCTGTGATCAATGTGCTTGTCATCTCATGTCCCACCATGTATGGTGCCCTGTTTGTGCCTCAGGCCAGGTTCCTAGTGGTTCTGTTGTGAAACAAATACCCCGGGGCCCAGGGGGTAAAAAATGAAAAGGGTGGGCTGACCAAATAGCCTCAGTGGATTAAAGCACCTGCATAGGCAAGCACAGGGACCAGAGTTCCATCCCTTGCCAGCTCAACCCCTGGGGCATGCTGAGATTGTGACTGAGACTGGGCATGAGCGCCTGTAATCCCAGCACTTGGGAGGCTGAAAACAGGAGGATCACTAGGAATCCAATCTGTGTAGTGAGACCTTGTAGATCCTGTACTAAATGCATAAAAAATAAATTAATAAATAAAAATGAAAAGGGTGAAATCACGATATTCCATAAAAATACAAAAGAAATGGGCAGATTCCTGTATACATATGAACAAAGTTGAATCAATATGATATAAAGGGCTGGGGAGATAGCTCAGTAGGATAACTGTTTGCCTGGCAAGCACAGGGTCCTGAGTTCAATCCCCGGTCCCACAAAAAATAAAATAAATTTTTAAAAATATGATATAAAAATTTTAAATCAATAATAACAATGAAATGGTAGATATATTTAAAAACCTACCAACCACAAAAAAAGTCCAGGCCCTGATAGATTCACTGCTGAATTCTACAAGAAATTTAGAGAAGACCCAATGCTGCTACTTCTCAAACTCTTTCATGAATCTGAAAGGGAGGCATCACTTTCTGACTCATTACTGGAAGAAAGCATTACTCTGATATAAAAACAAGAGAAAGCTACAACCAAAAACCAGAAATACAGGCCAGTTTCCCTAATGAACATAAAATTAAAAAATCTTCAATAAGATACTGGCAAACCGAATGCAGCAAATCATCAATATTATTCATTATGCCCATGTATATGATTTATCCCAGGGATGCAGGGATGGTTCAACATATGAAAATCAATAAACCTAATGTATCATATTAACAGAATGAAGGACAAAAATCCTACCATCATCTTAATAGATGCAGAAAAAAATATGACAAAATCCAACACTCATTCATAAAGAAACAAAAATTGGAGCAGATGGTCTTTTTTTTCTGATACTGTAACCTCAGAATCAAAATGGAATGGTTTTTATAAGTGATATCACTTTTATTTCATTTGGCAGAATCATGACATGATCGGTTGGAATAGATGGTCTTTATCCCACCTTGATAAAAGCCATCTACAATAATTCAACAGACAATACGATACTGAGTGGATAAAACTCAAAAGCTTTCACTTAAAAATCAAGAACAACACAAGGATGTCCACAGTCATCACTCTTATTCAATATAGTTCAGGAAACATTAGCCAGAACTATGGTATAAGACAAGAGGGATAAAAAAAGGAAGAAGTTTAACTATCATCCTCTGTGGATGACATTATAAGTCCTAATACTTCTAGATTCAAGAACCACAATTAGTAGCATAGCTGGATACAAACTCATCACTCCAAAATTGATAGCCTTCCAGTATAACAAACTTACTGAAATTAAAGAAACAATATTATTCAAAATAGCATTAAAAATACTCAGGAATTAATCTAATGAAGCAAGTAAAAGAACTTTACACTTAAACTATAGTACTCTGAAAAATGAGCTCAAAGAGGGTAACAGAAGGGCAGGTCAGATAGCTAAGCAGACTAAAGTATCTGCTTAGGCAGGCACAGGGACCAGGGTTTGACCTCCATGTGCTCTGGTGGCCCCACCCTGCTCCCCCAGGGGTGTGCTGAGATGGAGACTGAGAACTGGATGGTGGAGCACACCTATAATCCCAACACTTGGGAGGCTGAAAACAAGATCACTATGAGTCTGATCTGTGTAGTCAGACCCTGTACTAAATACATTAAAAAAATGGGGGGGGATATCAGAAAATGTAGGGCAGGGGAGATAGCTCAATAGAATAAGTGTTTGCCTGGCAAGTGCAAGGTCTTGAGTTCAATCTCCGGTACCACCAAAAAAAAAAAAAAAAAAGAAAAAAAGAAAAAGAAATGTAGATACTCCTTGATCTTGGGCAGGAAGAACCAATACAGTGAAAAATACTCCCTAAATTCTTATTCAACTAATTAGAGGAAATATTTCTAAACTTGATTTGGTACTATAAGAAATCTAGAATAGCCAAATCAATTATGGATAACAAAATTAAAGCAGGGAGCATCACCACCCCTGACTTGAAACTGTACAAAGCTACTGTGATTTAAAAAAAAAACAAAACAAACCAAAAACCAGTATGGTACTGGTAAGAAAACAGACCCGAGGACCAATGAGACAGATTAGAAGAAACAGCAACAACTCCAGATGTATTAAGCCAGTTGATCTTTGACAAAGGGGCCAAATACCTTGACTAGAAAAGATAGTCCTTGGAATAAAATGATGGAATAATTGGCTTTCCACAAGCCAAAAGCTAAAACTAGAATCATATTTACCACCATGCACTAAACTAAAATCAAACTGGAGCAAAGATCTAAATATTAAAACAGAATCTGCTAATCTGCTAAACTGCTAGAAGATCGAACTAGTTTTGTTTTGTTTTTT